CCCCCACCCCCCACCACACCCACCCCCCCCCCCCCACCACCCTCCCCCCCCAGCACCCCCCGCCATGAATTCCACCTACGAGACGCAGCCGGGCGAGGAGGCGGAGGAGCTGCCGGCCACCGAGAAGGACCTGGCGGAAGACGCTCCTTGGAAGAAGATCCAGCAAAACACCTTCACCCGTTGGTGCAACGAGCACCTCAAGTGCGTTCACAAGCGCATCGGGGACCTGCAGCGGGACCTGAGCGACGGCCTGCGCCTCATCGCCCTCCTGGAGGTCCTCAGCCAGAAGAAGATGGGGCGCAAGTACCACCCGCGCCCCAACTTTCGCCAGATGAAGCTGGAGAACGTCTCGGTGGCCTTGGAGTTCCTGGAGAGGGAGCACATCAAGCTGGTCTCCATCGGTGAGTGTGCAAGGGGGGGGGGAGCGAGGGGGGAGGGGGCAAGGGCAGGGGTGGTGGACAAGGGGGGTGATGGACAAGGGAGAATGGGGATTGGGTGTGGAGGGGCAGGGGGGATGGGCAAGAGGGAGTGAGGGGTGAGTGTGCAAGGGTAGGGGTGATGGAGGCGTGGGAGCGAGGGGTGAGTGTGCAAGGGCAGGGGTGATGGACAAGTGAGAATGGGGGTTGAGTGTGCAAGGGCGGGGGTGATGGAGGAGTGAGAATGGGGATTGAGTGTGCAAGGGCAGGGGTGACGAAGGCATGGGAGGGGTGAGTGTGCAAGGGCAGGGGTGAGCGTGCGAGGGTGGGAGTGTGAGCGAGGGTGTGAGTGTGCAAGAGGAAGGCTGATGGACAAATGAGAATGGGGATTGAGTGTGCAAGGGCAGAGATGATGGACAAGAGGGAACAAGGGGTGAGTGTGCAAGGATGGGGTGATGGAGGAGTGGGAGCGAGGGGTGAGTGTGCAAGGGCGGCGGCGGGCAAGGAATGAGCAGCGAGTGTGCAAGGGCAGGGGTGAGCATGCAAGGTAGGAGTGGGAATGGGACGAGTGTGCAAGAGCAAGGGCAGGGGAGGAGTGGGAATGGGGGACGAGTGTGCAGGGGCTGTGCTGTGGGCCTGACCCCTGTGCGAGGGGGCGTGCAAGGCCCGGTCGTGCCAGGGCTCCGGTCCTGGTGCGAGGGGCTCGGTGCGGGGCCGTGGGGCTCCGGCTTGCACACGCAATCGTGCAAGGAGCCGGCGCACGGCGGAGGGGTCGGGGGGCTCGCCCCTCGCACGCTCGCCCCTCGCACGCTCGCCCCTCGCACGCCCGCTTGCACGCTCACGCCCTGCCTCCGCCGGGCGTGCACGCGCGGCCTTGCGTGGCAAGGTGGTGCCCTTGCACACCCACCCGCGCACCCCCCCTCCCCTTGCACACCCACTCGTGCACACCCAGGCTGGGTGGGTGCGGGGGCGGGGCCTGAGCCCCAGATGTTGCCCCCCCAGATGTTGCCCCCAGATGTTGGGGTGCCCCCCGATGTTGCTCCCCCAGATGTTGGGGTGCCCCCTCAGGTGTTGCCCCCCCAGATGTTGGG